ACCCTGAAACTGATGAGGTTTATGCTCAGATGACTCTTCAACCTGTAAACAAAGTGAGTCCTTTATGCTGTTTGCAATTTCAGCTGTCATCTTTTGGTGAACGTATTTTTTACCTCCTCAGCAGGAAGTTGTATGATACGAAATTTTGCTTTTTGTTCCTGCAGTATGACCAGGAGGCTTTAATTTTATCGGATATGGGCCTTAAGCAGAACAGGCAACCTGCTGAGTTCTTCTGTAAAACTCTCACAGCTAGTGATACAAGTACACATGGTGGATTTTCTGTTCCTCGTCGAGCGGCTGAGAAGATATTTCCTCCACTGGTTTGTTTATCTTCACAAAGTATCTTCAAGAAAAAGAGATCCGCTTTTATGCATCTGACGGGAAGTTTCTTTTATAGGATTTTTCAATGCAACCTCCTGCTCAGGAGTTAATGGCTAGAGATTTGCATGACCAAGCTTGGACTTTTAGGCATATATATCGAGGTACATTTTAAGATCTTTTACTCTCTTATGTTGGAAGTTGAATTTGAATATTCTATGTAGAATTACTAATGGGGTATAACACTTTGAGTTGCTATACTAGTAGTTGACATTTAAGGTTTTTCTCAAAGGATACAGTTCCATTTTGGAGTGCTAAATTAAGTGTTTCGAATAATTATCCTTTTTCTTTATAGATTAGCGATATTTGTCTTTAAATCCAACTTAACTTGAGAAAAATGCGATTCCAATAAGTGCTCACTGAAATTAATTTGCATGATTTCAGGTCAACCAAAAAGACACCTTTTGACAACTGGTTGGAGTGTCTTTATCTCCTCTAAAAGGCTATGTGCCGGTGATTCTGTCCTTTTCATAAGGTAATGGTGAAAATTAGTTGGTAATTTTTATATATGATAGTCATCTTGTTGCTAAACTGGGAAAATTTGATGTAGAGATGAAAAGTCACAGCTTCTCTTGGGTATAAAACGAGCGAATAGACAGCAGCCTGCTCTCTCCTCATCTGTTATATCTAGTGACAGCATGCACATTGGGATCCTTGCTGCTGCAGCTCATGCTGCTGCAAACAACAGCCCGTTTAGTATCTTTTACAATCCGAGGTACTATTTCAACCCTTCTGTAATAGAAAATATTACGTGTTTGGACTTAAATGTTGAATAATACACAAATTGTTTTTCTTGCTCCTTTTGTTCTTGACAGGGCAAGCCCTTCTGAATTTGTGATTCCTCTGGCCAAGTATAATAAAGCTATGTACGCACAAGTTTCACTAGGCATGCGATTTCGGATGATGTTTGAGACGGAGGAGTCTGGAGTCCGTAGGTATATGGGTACAATAACTGGTGTTTGTGATCTGGACCCCATACGATGGAAGAGCTCTCAGTGGCGTAATCTTCAGGTACTCAGTCATCTAGGCTTTGTCCCCAAGAATTTGCCTATAATCTTGATATATAGAACTTAGTGGTCATAGTAGAGCTCTTCCCACTGCATGAAAGTATATTTCTCAGTCATACCAAATACAACTACATATATTAGGCAATGTCATTCATTATCGGTTGCTCCTTCTGATTAGGAGTGCTTACTTGCACTTTGGTTCATGACTTTATGGTGGTAATGTCTTTAGAAGCATTGTGTTTTCCTTTTTCTTGTGTGAGTGTGTATGGTTTTCTTGTTAAAAAATCATTTTAACCATTTACAGATGTTTCCTTGGTCATTAGATATCCTGCTAGCTCTTTCATTGAACTTTACTTATAGTTCCGAAGGATTTCTTGATGGTATGTGATCAACTTCATTTGCATGGATCCAATCCTTATTTCTTTATTTAATTTGTTAGGTGGGATGGGATGAATCAACTGCCGGGGAACGTCCAAGCAGAGTTTCAATTTGGGATATTGAGCCTGTCGTAACTCCTTTTTATATCTGTCCACCTCCATTTTTCAGGCCCAAGTTTCCTAAACAGCCAAGTTTTCCTGGTAAGCTACTTGACATTTAGCTTTCTCTTTTAATGTTTCAAAGGTTAAAAAGAACTAAAACAAAGAGCCTATTTGAAGGTTCACTGTAGTCCATCTCCCTCATCTCAACCTGCACAAGAAGGAAATTAGCTAACTGTTAACTTCCTTGCTATAATCCTCAACGGGCTAGTGCTTTTGCAGGTGATGAGTCTGATATTGAAAATGCATTAAAGAGGGGGATGCCTTGGATCAGCGATGAGTTCGGTCTAAAAGATGCTCCAAGTTCAATATTCCCTGGACTAAGCTTGGTACAATGGATGAGTATGCAACAGAACAATCATAATCCTGTTGCCCAATCCAGACTTCCCAATGTCTTACACAGTAATATTGGCACGGATGACCATTCTAAGTTGTTGAGCTTTCAGTCACCTACACCAGGTCTCCAGTTCAACAAACCAAATCAACTAAATCAGCAATTTGGTCAAATCCAGCAGCCACCATTAGCATGGCCCCAACAACAGCAGCAATCGTTACAGTCTCCCGCGAGTGTACAGCAGCAGCACACGCCGCAGCAGCACACGCTGCAGCAACAGCAACACTCGCTGCAGCAGCAGCCACAGCAACACTCGCGGCAGCAGCTGCCACATCAACACATGTTGCAGCAGCAGCAGCTACAACCACAGCCACAGCTTCACCAGCAAGCGCAGCAGCAGCAACGTGGACCCCAGCAGCAACAATTGACCGTGAATACACCACCAGTAAATAATTGTGTATCCCCTAACCAGATACCAAACCAAAGTTTTCCACAAGCTTCGATATATGCTCAGCAGCAACAGTTGTTATCAGCCAGTAACCAATCACAGCAAAATGTTCCTGTCAATAAAAATCCATTTCTTTCAACATCCTCGGCACAAGACTTCCCATTTCAGCAACAAGCGGAACAGCAGTCTAACCTCTTGCAAAAGTCCCAGCAGCAGCAGCAGATAATACCGCAGCAGGCTCCACTACAATTGTTGCAACAAAGTTTGATGCAGAGGCCACAAGTACAGACATCGTCACAGCAGAGCCTTACTGAGCAGCAGCTGCAACTACAGCTTCTTAATAAACTGCAGCAGCAACAGCAGCAACAAGCACAGCAATTATCTCATGTAAGCTCTACTCTGGAGCCACGTATGCCCCAGCAACAACAGAACCGGCAACCACAAGAGCTCCAGTTTGGTCATCAGCAATTGAGTTCCAACATCATGACCACAGCCACACATCTACAGTCACCTCAACATGCTTTCAACCAACTCGAAGGCCAGAACAAATCTCCGATAACAATCAGAGCACTTTCTGGTGCTACAGATGGTGATGCTCCTTCATGTTCAACCTCTCCTTCTACAAATAATTTCCAAGTTTCACCACAAAACTTCTTGACTAGGAACCAAGGGCAAGCCATACTAGTGGATGAGTCGGTAGTTGATCCATCTCAAGAGCAAAACAAATCCGAATTTCGAATGAAACATGAGCTACCCTTCTCAAAAAGTTCGGAGCAGTCTAAATACAAAGGTAATGGTACTGAGAACTTAGAGGCAGCATCATCGACAACATCATATGGGTTGGATTCTAGTGGCTTCAACTTTTCATTGCCTGCATTATGTGCGGAAGGCGATGTTCAATCACATTCTAGGAACAATCTTCCTTCTGCAGCAAATATAGATGGATTGACCCCCGATGCTTTGCTGTCAAGGGATTATGATTCCGGAAAGGATATGCAAAACCTATTCTCTCCTTTTGGAAATACCCCTAGGGACATAGAAACAGAGTTGTCTGCTGCTGGGATCAATTCTCAACAATTTGGGGTTCCAAACATGTCATACCAGCCAAGATGTTCCAACGATCTCGCTGTTAATGATAATGGTGTTCTAAATAATAATTCGTGGACGAATCAGACTCAGCGCATGAGAACGTATACAAAGGTCTGCCGCACACATGCTTTGCTCTCTTTTTATCACTCTTTATGTGTCTTCTCTTATTTCAAGTTTCATATGATGGCGTAGTACTGTTATATCTCATTCCCGTTATGTATGTTTTTAATATTGTTTTGCGATCATGAAGGTTCAAAAACGTGGCTCTGTGGGAAGAACTATAGATGTGACTCGTTACAAAGGCTACGATGAACTAAGACATGATCTAGCACGTATGTTCGGGATTGAAGGACAGCTGGAAGACCCTCAAAGAACTGAATGGAAGCTTGTGTATGTAGACCATGAGAATGATATGCTGCTTGTTGGTGACGATCCTTGGGAGTAAGTGTTGACTTGTAGAAAGTTGTATTATGATTCTTGAAGTATTACTTTTCCAAGATATTCATGTTTTCCTCATTTTTCTCAGGGAATTCGTGAGCTGTGTTCAGAGCGTCAAAATCTTGTCTTCTGCTGAAGTGCAGCAAATGAGTTTGGATGGTGATTTAGGTAATGTGCCAGTACCAAACCAAGCTAGCAGTGGCACTGACAGTGGTAATGCATGGAGGGGACACTATGATGACAACTCAGCTGCATCATTTAATCGATGAAGGCGTTCCCGTTTCATGACCTAACTTTGCAATGCATTTTCAACACAATTCCCTTGAAGCTGCTAGCAATTCAGATCACCAGAATGCAGCTGGTAGGAGCAACTCATGTCAAGTTTTTTATTCGTGACGTGAATACACATACCCCTTCGAGATATGGCAGTCCGTGCATGTCTTCGTGGCACAGTTGATGTTAGATTAGTACCATTACTACTTTGTGGAGTGTTTTAATCAGATTTACTGAGATCAGGATCCGTTTCTTAATTCTTATTCGAAGGTCCGAAAATCTGTTAGTGAATTTAGGAGAGCAGGTTTCCAATGTTGAATTATTTGTTTCTAGATCAGGTTGATGTAAATTAGCCTAGTAATTTAGGCTTGAAAAACTACAGGAAGAAAAATTCCTGTTGTACTAAATGTAACAGAAAGTGTATAGCTTTGACGGATGTGGGAAACAATGTCTAATGATGGCTCCAAGAACTTATAAAGAAAATCCATCACGAAAAATTCAGTTCCAATCTTCATAATCTGCAGCTTTCAATCACTTTTTAACGTACAAAACATACAAAATACCCAAAAGGGTAAAAATTCCTCAAATCAAGAAAAGAAGTGCGTTCAGAAAATTGATTCTACACTTGACATTAATCATTAATTTGCAGTGTTTGCCGAAATGTGAATGCAGCTTCCTCTTCCTAAACCTTAGTGAAATTTTGGCACGGAATAATTGACTCGATATCCAACTAAGATAGCACGGCCATTACATCAGATGCCCTGAGTGTAATGTAATCGGATCCATCAGCACCTTTGAATTCACTACCTGCATATTTGGAGTAGAGAACTGTATTTCCAGGGGATACTGAAAGTGGTTTCCTGTTCCCTTCCTCGTCCAAAGGACCAGGCCCAACAGCTATAATCTGTAATTTCAAACACATAGTATAAGGTTTAGAACATCTCTACCAATATAGGGGGAATAGACTAGGGATGCAAATTAGAGGCAATATTGATTCTTGACAGCCAGAGTACTAGTCAATCTTCTATCTCTTACCGCGCCAATTGAAGGCTTCTCCTTTGCTGCCTCAGTCAACAGTAAGCCTCCTGCGGTTTTTTCTTCAGCCTCGGCAACCTGACAGCAAATGCAACCACCAGTTAACGCTCGTTCAGTCAATTATACTCGGGTAAATCAAAGGAAAATTAAAGAAGAAATAGGCAACCAGCTGACTGTGAAACATCAGATATCTTGCAGACAAGGAATGAATGAAGGATAAGAGTGCAAACCTTGATTAGGACTCTGTCATTTAATGGCTGCAAATCCTTGATATCATCTGTCTCAAGAACACCAACAATATCATCCTCTTTCAGAATGAGGTGCTTTGATCCATCGAACTCCACCTCTGTTCCAGCGTACTTTGAGTAGACGACTTGGGCACCCGTCTATACACAATAGATCTTTTCAGTCGAACTTGATTTTCATGGATTTATCCTAGCTTGATTATATTATCTGAATATAATATTACCTTCACGCTAATGTCCACTTTAGTCTTGCCAGCTGAACGACCCTCCCCAACAGCAACCACCTCACCTCCTTGAGGTTTTGACTGCGCTGTTACTGGAAGTAGGATACCACCTACAGTCTTCTCCTCCGCGGTCTTAATCTTTACCAATACTCTATCGCCCAACGGCTTAAGCGTTGTGTACTGCAAGAATAACAGCAAGAAAATAAATATCATGAAATTTTTCCTGCTAAAATTGGAATAATTTTATTGCATGACCAGTTAGTTAGCAGAGAGTAGAGACAAATCACCACATTTACAAACCAAACATCATAACTCAACAAATAGTCCTAAATAAGAAAACAAGTAAATATCCTTCACATAATGTCTCTTTAACATATATAAGAGCAGAATATGAGTGTAAGGTTACCCACAAAGGAAGCGGAACTTTGAAGCCACGGTAAAGTTCGCTCTACATGACCTATAGGCCACGAGTTCGAGCCGTGGAATCAGCTGTTGATGCTTCCGGGTAGGCTTCCTACATCACACCGCTTGGGGTGCGGCCCTTCCCCAGACCTTGGGTGAACGCAGGATGCTTCATGCACCGAGATGCCTCTTTAAGGTTACTCACAAGCTAACCTCATTAGGCCTCAATATCTAGGTCTGGCATCAGCATTGACATAAAAATATCTGAAGCCAGGATGTACCAGCTGATAAAACTTAATTCTCAGTGAAGTCATATTTGGATTCCAAAATTATACTTGACTGAAGTCTAACAGTTATAAATCAAGAAACATCAAAACCAAAACTAGCAACTATAACACTATTGTTTCCTCAATTCTGCCAAGGAAACCATATTTTCCCAGCAAGCCCAAGTCACAAACTTACAACACAATTGAAGCCACAAAACAGAATGAAAAGGTCAATTTACCCAATCCAACAAAAAGACAATACTTATCCAATCCATTTCTAGTTGAAGTTATTTGTTTCAGCTAACTCTTGCAAAATACTGAACGAAGACTTGATCTTTCTTTTAAAGAAACAAAAAACTAACTAACCAACACCTGATAATTGCACTAAATTAATCATAAACAAGAAAACCAATGTTCATACTGCAAGCGAAAACGTTCATCAACACAATACGGGAAGCAGCGTAAATACATAAGAAACCAAATCTCCCTAGTCATTCAGCTATCCCAGATAAAAAAAATGATGGAACTGAAAAAAAGTAAAAAAATAAAAAAGAAATAATGTACCTTAGGAGCTACAGTAGTGGCAGCCTTAACAACAAGACTACGAAAAGACCTGCTATTCTGCTTCAATGGGGCAAAAGATGCAACCTTTACACTACCAGTTGACCTAAGCCCTTCAAAGGATACAAAACCCTTTGCACAAATGGATGATGCCGTTAGCTGAGTGGTCGCCATTTCTTCCTACACTTAATCAAATTAAACCCCAAAAAATTAAAATGGTTATTATCCTCAAAAAGAGGAAAGTTAACGTCAAAAAGAATATATTTGGAACAATGATAACAAACAATACCTGAATTAGGAGTCAAAAAGAAGGCTTCTTTTTCTTCTCAACTGGGGTAGTGAGAGTAAGTAAGTTAGGTTGTTCAAAAAATATAGTGTGTGTTTGGTAAGAAGAGGATAACAAAACCCTAGAAGGTTCAAGAGAAAGGGGTTTTCTGCCAAAGATAAGATGTTTCTAGAATTTTTCTTTTGTTTGTTTGTTTGTTCGTTGGAACATATTACCCTCTTCGATTGGGCTCGGGTTAGACCCTTTCATATGGACCAGTCTGACAATTTTTCCAGCCTCTCAAATATGAATGAAGCCCAATTAGTTCTTCGCCCCTAGCCAAGATTTATTGGAAACAACCTCATTACCTTCGGATAGAGTAAGGTATCTTCTACAGACTCTATTTGTAAGATTTTACTGAATTTTTATTGTTGTTATGGTTGTTGTTGTTGCCTTTCAAGGTTCAAATACTACAAATGACGTCGAATTAACCTTTTCAAAACCGTTGTTTATATTTTGATCACATTAAAAAAAAAAGTTGAAAAAATAGCTTCACATTGCAATTTTAAAGCACGCTCGCCAGAATTTTGAAGCTCTAGAAATTCTGACGATCACCAAAATTTTCAACGCCAGAATTTTAGAGCACTAGAAATTTTGTTTGTCCTATTTCCAGCTAGATTTTAAAAAAAATCTGGTGATCCATCAAAATTTATAGCAAAATCCTGAAGATCAGCATAATTGTTGAAAATTTTTGCCTAACGTGTTTTAGAGTTCTGGTGACCAGGGAAACTCTTGTCCGACGTATCTTAAAATTTTGGAAAAAAACTATAGGTGTTAATTGGGCCGGGCTGACCCATTTTCAACCTGGTTCAGCCCGTTATTGTTGCTTATTGTGCGGGCTGAGACGGGTTGGTCAAGGGGCGGGTTTTGGACGAACAAGTTTTGAATAATGGTGTACCGTACCCGCTAAGTCCGCGACCCGTTAACGAGTTGTTAACGGGTTGCAACCCGTTATCAGCCCGGATACCGTTGAGATTTTTTTATTATTATTATTTGGACCGTTGCCAACGGTCAAATTGAGAAATGACCGTTGGGGAATGGCCAGATTTTGCAGAAATGGCCATTTCGACCTCCCCCATTAAAAATATAGCTCTCTCATCCCTAATAATTGAAAATTTACATTTTTAACCTTTTAAAACCTATAAATAGCCCCCCTTCTTCTTCATTTTTTCTCACAATTCACCCTCTTACTACTCTAATTCTCTCTTGATATTATTGATTATTGTTCTTAAATTCTCAAATCTCAAATTCTCAATTATTTATTATTTCAAGTTTCATCAATTATTTAGTTTAGACATTACAAAATTATTATTATCAAATATCAAGTATTCAAGTGAAGTGTGGTATCAAGTACTATCAAGTATCAACTATCAAGTTTTGGTCTATCAATTGAAGTTTAATTTTTGATATCAAAATTAGTGCGGCACTCGGAATCCCGATACACTCGTTCCATCTCTTTCTCTTATTTGGTGTACACTTATTTTATTATTTAGAATTATTAATTTAATTTCTTTATTTAATTTACATAATGGATTTACTTAAAGCAGCCAAAAAAGCGTGCACTAGTAGAGATGGTAGTAAGAAAACTTCCAAAAGATCAAGAGGTGGTAGGGCTGTGCACGGATCGGATCGGATTTAGCATATTTCGGATTTGAATTTCGGATTTTGGATTCTAGAAAATGCAATCCAAATCCGATCCGAATTATATCGGATCGGATCGGATTTTAAAGTTTGGATCAGATCGGATATCGGATCGTATTATTATGCCTCAAAGTTAAACTAATATGTATATTTTCTTTGTAAAAGAGACAATACATTAAGAAAAATTCATGTTTATGCAATTATGAGAGTACTATGGTGCCAATATAGCTAAATCTAACAATTATAAAGGTAATAACTTGGAGGTTGTTGTAAATTAAAGTGTAGTATTTATACATGTCCTAATAATTTCAGATTTCGGATTGGATTGGATTAAAATATACCAATCCGAAATTTTAATAAACACAATCCGAAATCCGAAATCCAAAATTGAATGGATCGGTTCGGATTTCGAATATCCGATCCGAATGAACAGTCCTAAGAGGTGGTGTTGGTTCTTATAGTAGATTTACACATATTTATGGAAGTTCACCTGAAAATTTAAATGTAGATTATGAGAATGCAAGTAAAATTTGGTATAGATGATATTTTAGATGATATTTAATCACCCGATAATCTTGAAACACCACCACCTACACCCAGTAATGCTAGTCAAACTCAAAATATTAGGGGTGGAACAAGTAGGCCTCCTCTCCCTATTAAGAAGAATCGACGATTAAGAAGTAAGTGTTGAATGTTTTTTGAAAGACTAGAAGATCAAAAAAAATTATGTAAAATGTAAAATTTGTAATGAACATTATAAATATGAGCCCGGTAAGGGAGGGGGAACGAGTCAACTTCGTAGGCATATAGAAGAGAAAACCCTCTTGATTGGGGAGTAGATGAGGAATCTGAGCAATAAAAACTTAACCCGAGTATTGGGGGGTTATTTGGTAAATACGATATTAAGAAAGATCGAGAAGAATTAGCTAAAATGATTGTTTTAGGTTGTTTACCTTTTAGTTTTACTTCTTCACCGTGTCTTGTTACTTATATTCAAAGAATTTATAACCCTATGTTTAAAGGTATTCCTAGAAGTACTTGTAGAGCTGATATCTTTAGGCTTTTTGGACAATATCTGACATATATATGTTATTTGTTCGCAAGTCTTCCTTGTAGAGTTTCTCTTACTTCTGATATTGGTCGTGTTATAAACGGAAATGATTATTTGACTGTTACATGTCATTGGATAAATGATAATTTTTTTATGCAAAAACATATTATTGCTTTTAAATACGATGAAGATCAAAGTCATACTAGTGCATTTATAAGTAATACTATCCATGAAATTTGCAGAAAAAGTTTTGTGTGTGTCATTTGCTAATACTTCTAACAACAATGCTGCTATTACAATATTAAAATTGCATCTACACCCACCACTTTCTGAAATATTTCATGTTAGATGTGCATGTCAGATTTATAACTTGATTGTGAAGAGTGGCCTTGAATTATTTAAAGATGAATTTACTTTAGTTAGGAGAGTTGTTGGTGTAATTCAAGGAAATAATAGAAGTGTTAGATTAAATGCATTCAAGGAAAAATGTGTACACTATGGACTAAAACCAAGACTCATGCCTGAAGAAATAGTTACTAGGTGAAATTATACTTATTTATTCTTAAGATGTTGTTATAAATATAGAATGTCTATAACTGAAGTTGCTAGTTCTCATTGTACCGATCCTAGTTGTTTGTTAACATCTAGAACTTGGGATGTCATTCATGATGTTGTATAATTTTTACAAAAAATTCACGTGCCTACACTTTAGTTTTCTGGAGCTTATTATCATACTATTGCAAATGGTTTAGTTCATATTGCTGAAATTTCTCTTTTACTACATAATTTGAAGAAGAAAGAAGGATATGCTTCTGTTGTTAAATCTATGCTAGATAAGTTTAAAAAATATTTCTACCCAATTCCCCATATTTACTTAATTGGTACTATTTTAAACCCTACTATCAAAATGATAAAGTGTCGCCAATTAATTAGAGCTTTATATACTTATATGGATATTGAACCAATTGAAACTCTTGATATTGACACTTGTATTTCTGATCTACACACACATTTACAAACTTTATATAATTATTATGCTAACGTTGTTGATGCTTCTTCGGTTGTAGATGCAAATATTCCTTCAAGTAATCCTTCAACATCTGGAACAACTATGGATGATGATGATGGTGTTCAAGATTATCTGATTTGGTCTACACTAGGAGAGCATCACCAAACCAGTAGCAAGAATATTGATGAACTAAATTTCTACTTGCAAAAGTCACCAGAGCCCCTCACACTACCGCTGGATTGGTGGAAAAGCAACTCAAATCAATTTCCTGTTCTTTCGGTCATGACTTGAGACGTGCTAAATGTGTCGATTTCAATAGTCGCATTAGAGAGCGCATTTAGCCAAGCAAGACAGCAGCTAGGAGATACCCGTCATTCATTGGACAACAACGCTTTGGAGATTCTAGTGTGCTTCAGAGATTGGATAAGATCAGAACGGCGAAATCAAGGGCGTGCCGAGGTAGACGAAGAGGAGGACCAAGAAATTGGAGATATAATGGTTTATGGTTCCGATTCAACCAATGCCGAAAAAGAACCTTGTGTTGACATGGAAGAACTTATAAAAATGATGCAAAATATGTGATGTACTATTTCTTATTTTTTTATAGTTATTGTAAACTTTTAATTTGCAAGTTCAAAAATCAAAAAATCAGAAAAAGAACTTGCAAATTAATTTGAAGTATTAAAAATATAAAATGAAAGCCTTCGGAGTTTGTTCCTTACATATTGCCTATTGATCTTGTTAAATAATATTTTTTGTAGCCACTTACTTTGTAATTTCAATTTTATAATTTTAAAATACAAATTTCAAATTTAAAACTTTAAACTTCAAAGTTTAATTCTAAGCCTTAAGCAAATACTTAAGTATCAATAACATTGAAAAAGAAAAATAAAATTTAATCTTTAAAAAAATATAGTAGCCCGGCCCGCCCGAACCTTGACGGGCCCTAAATAACCCGAAAAAGTTAAACCCGTCCCCAACCCGATACGAAAATGGACGATTTGGTTTTTTTCCCGTTCAATCCGTCCCAACCCACCCGATAAACAGGTATAAAAAAAACTATATGGCTTTGATCTAGTGGTGAGAGAACAACACGTGATGGTTGGGTTAGAAACACGTCATGGTATCGAACTCTCCCCTATACAAGTATATGGTATTAAGTGAAAATGATAAAAGGGTGAGTTCATTATTCATCAATTTTTTAATTTTGCGACACTTGCCTCAGGAAGTTATTAGTTTATAAAAATGAGATATAAAAAAACTTGCTTTATGATGTATGGATCAATTAAATGTGACAATAAAGAATAACTAATTTAAAGAATTTGAGTTAAAATTAGAAAGTAAGATAGTGAGAAATTGAAAAAAAAAATTATAGAAAGAAATAAAACTGATAAAAAGGTAAATATTTATCTAATTTAATGAAAGAAAAAAATTATCATATTAACTCACCTAATCATAATTTATCATAATTTTACCAAATTAAAAGAATATTAAATCTTTTATTAATAATTACATAAATATAAATTATATCATAATATAGTAGCACTTCATATTTTGGGGCTAAGGCAAGAGCTTCCCCACCTTACCCTAGAAGCCGCCATTGTTTTAAGTTACTTTCTGCAGTTAAGTTGTAAAGAGGCGCCCAAATTAGGTTAAGGAGTGAGAAAAGATGCAGCATGATGAGGTCATATGGCAAGTTATCAGACACAAGCATTGCAGTTTCATGGCTAAGTCAGATTTTTTTCTTAATTTGATTCTCACCATTTGTTTAACATATGGTCTTTATTTGATTTATTTTTTCTTCTTTTGCAATATTGACAGAATTGAGACAGGGATATTTTGCCGAAATCCATATAATGTAACTGGGATTTGCAACCGCAGCTCATGTCCTCTGGCTAATAGTCGGTACGCCACCATTCGGGATCATGATGGTATTTATGCACAGCTTATTTCTTGTCAGTTTTGAAATGATATACAAGAGGCTATAGTTTTTTTTTCCTTCATTTTTTTTAAATATAAGGAAATAGTTGTAATTTCGCTTTGGTTTGGTTTCCTTAATATCTTGTTGTTGTTATTACTTGTTGCCAATGCTTCTTTTTCATCTACTCTCTAGCCGATGGTCTATCGTAAGCAACCTCTCTGTCCTCCCTGCAGTGGCGGAACTAGGATTTTACCAAGGAGTGTCAAAATATATATAAAAAAAAGTAATTATACACGAAATTAAGGAGGTTCAACGCATAGTATATATACATAAAAAGTCTTTTTTACGTATTTACACTGCGGCTAAGGATGCATGTGGCTCCGCCACCCCTCACAAGGTAGGGGTAAGGTGTGCGTATACACTATCCTCCCATACCCCACTTGTGGGGAACTCACTGGTTTATTGTTGTAAGGACTAAAGAAATGGTTGTAATCGTGATCCTAGGGCATACAAGATGTATGAGTTAATGGTTTGGCTGGTTGCAATTGGAAAATTGTTTTATTTATGATCATTAATGAATAATTTGGCTGCAATGGAAAAAGGGATTTTTACCTATCGGTTTGTCTTACTTGTACCCTTTCATTCCTAGATAGTATTTTATACTAGTATTAAATGTTAGGTTCTAGTCAAAGATGTTTCTTTGGTTGTGATGTGCCTGTCTTGTTTACCCCTTTTCGTCTGGCTAAGTGACTTAGGGGAATCACCATATACTTGGATTATATTGATTTATCTTTCCTGCGCTGAGGGCATATCGGAAACAGCCTCTCTATCTTTTCAAGGTAGGGGTAAGGTCTGCGTACACACTACCCTCCCCAAGCCTCACTTGTGGGAACTTACTGGTTTTTTTTTGTTGTTGTTGTTGATATTGTATTTTCGTCTGGGTTTTTAGCTATGAATCATGAGGGCAATTTTAACTTTTTCTTGATGGGATAAGCTAATATGATCATCCTAACTGTTCTGATATTCATAGTAAGCTGTCTAAAGAATCTACAATCTGGTTTCATTGGACGGTTCACCAAAAGTGCTTGTTTCTGGTTTTGTAGTTTTTATTAATTACTGAATTTTTTTGTAGGAGGAATTAGAATTTTCTTTTGGATCCTCTGATTTGTTTTTGTGCTATGCAGGAGTGTTCTATTTGTACATGAAAACAATAGAAAGGGCTCACATGCCAAACAAACTTTGGGAAAGAGTTAAATTGCCAAGAAATTACGAACAGGCTCTTGCAATCATTGATAAACATTTGGTAATGCAACAACTTTTTTTTCACTTGCCGCTGTATGCTTGTTGTTCTTCAAGGCAATAACTTCCCTCCCGCCTCCTTCCCTCTCTCTTAACTACCACAGATGTACTGGCCAAAGTTTCTTGTGCACAAAGCAAAACAAAGATTAACAAAAATGACTCAGATGCGAATAAGAATGAGGAAGCTTGCTTTGAAAACAAGGTTCGGACCTCCCTTCTCAGAAATTTGGTTTACAGTTAAATTCTCTCCTAAACAATTAAATGTATATATGCTTGGTGATTTGTTGTCTCAAGCTTACTTTTTAATCTTACTCTTTTACGGTCTTGAGCATTATTATAGAGGAAATTTAAGGTGCATGCTTGAAAGTTATAGATTCTTGTTTGTTTTATCAATCTGGCTCTTCATCCCATTTCACCTTTTCTCACCCTGGCTTCCAGAAGAACGAATACAAACAAGTAATCTCCTGGTTTGTTAATGAGGCAAAGGTTGAGCTGACTGTTAGATGTGGTCCAAGTAGACTTCTAGTTAGATGAACATTTAGGCGTGGTAAGTTCAAATTTTAAAATTTGTCCATTCAGGAGAGAAAGGGGGTGTGCTGTTCCATATGAACCTCTGTTTATCACCTCTTTAGTGGCTATACCAATGGACTGAGATATTGGATAACATACACCCAATGTATGCCGAATCATAATTGTCCCATCTTATCCAGTTAGAATATTTTAGCTGCAGCTTTTACCCACGATGAATGTACTAGGTTTTAATTTAGTCTCTGGCATATGCAGCTAATTGAGTCCTCTATGTAAACCCCCTTTTCCCACGATCCGCAACTACTGCCTTCGTATAGCCCCCTCTAACCCGTTTCTTCCGTCTTTCCTACCACTGCAACTTCCTAAACTGTTCTTNCCTACAACTGTTAGAATACCTCATGGTGGTGGAATTGTTTCTGGAATCAGGGTGGAGGGATTTTTCTAAATAGGCATACTCTCCCCCTAATTGGAACCTTAATACAGGAAGCCCAAAATTGACGGGCAATGAGCTCAATTACCATTTCAGATCATAAGTCTTGTGTCAAGGATGCAGTGCCACACAGACTTTTTTAAATATAGGGCATAAAATTGCAGATCAAATATGGAAGTATCACGCATAATTTTCTTGGAATTGCATAGTTATTGCTATTTGCAGGGACTCCTCTCTCATTTGACTTGAATTAGATAGTTCAAATAGCCTTCCTCCATCATAATATCCGTGGTCATTGCTGCTGCAAAGGCGCGGGCATTCTTTTATTCCTTTCCAGTCTAGATTATGTACATAATTATTTTTTGAAAGCAGCAGTGTCCTGTCCAGATTATGTACAACATAATTGCCATAGCTGTAATGATACTATATTCTTTCGGTTAGTAGTTGATATAATAATGAACTTTCTAACAGCAGCATAGTTTCAAACTTCTCTAGGAGGGGATCAATCTCCCATGGCAATTAGGTGAGATGGTATTGGAGAATATTCCATTTTATCCTAATTCAAGCTAGTACGTAGAAAGCTTGCTTTACCCCAAAAAATATAATGGTAACAGTTGTGTTTGAGCTCAAGAACAATCCTAAATTGTCCTCCCAACTTTTTCGAGAAGGGACTTGTTTGCTTCCATATTTTGGTACCTCCCCTTGAGGAAATAAATTTTTGCTTATGGATGTTTGACTGAAAGCATTTTCCTGCACTTGCTATATGCTTTAATTTGTTGTGTCTCCAGGGAGAAGATAATGACCACACCTAGGAAAGAAACGAAAAGAGAATCTCGCCGACAGGAAAAGGCTGAAAAAGCAGCTCTTCTCGATAAAGTGAGTTTAAGCTTGTAATTCTTTCCTTTGTTCGGGGTAGCATTTTTTCCCTTAATTTGGTAGGTCATCTGGCTATTTCCTTTACAAGACATGCTATTTGTACTCTGCAGAGCATTGAGAAGGAACTGCTGGAACGCCTTTCTAAAGGAGTGTATGGTGATATATACAATTATCCTGAGCGGAAGTATCTAGAGATTCTTGGTAGGGAAGAAATGCAGGTGGCTAGTGAAGAAGAAGATGAGGAGGTCTTCATCAAAACCCCTGTTATGTTGTCTCTGAAATATTCTCATTTTACTAGTTTCCCTTTCTTCTCTTGGTTGCTTCCTCCTCCCCCCCTTGTTTTTTGGGGTTTGGGTGGGTTGGGGGGTTTGGGTCGGCTTGTAGCCTGGGACTACCCTCCTCTGGCAAAGCCTTCCAAGTAAATTGGTTAACTTTGGCTGATACATTTAGATGAGCCATTTATTCATTCTGCTGTTAATGATTGAAATAAGCAGGAGCATGAAGTGGAATATGTTGAAGGCTATGATGAGCTTGAGGAGGAAGATGATATGGAAGATTTTGATGGTCTTGGAATTAGAGACAGCGGCTTGGATGATGATACTGGTAAAGTTCTTTATGGATGTTCTCTCCGTTGCTCATCCTATTCCCCCCTTCCCAGTGTTTCATTTGTGTAATAAATTACTGGCCACATCATCCTTTGGGTGAGGACGCAATGCACATATTTAACTCAGAATTAACAGTCCCCCCTAGGTTTACCTAAACACCAGGAATAAATGAGTTTGCATTTGTATTCTCGTAATGTTTAGTTGGCGTTCAGACTAATATTAGGCCGAAGTTGAAAAAAGAGAGCATTTTAAGTGTAAAAGAGTACTATTTGGAACAAATTGAAGTAGAAGTTGCAAATTTATACCAGTCACATCCTTTTGGTGTATTGGTGCTGATACAGTCATTTTCTCTCTGGCTGAAGCACTTATTCATGTCCATTGTGGCGAGGAAGTGTCTTTCAAAGCCATAATTGTGAACTAATTGTAAATCCGTGTGACCATGTGGCAGTTGGAATGGACGACGAGGATGATGATGATGATGAAGATGACGAGGCTGTTGCAGTTCATCAGAAGAGGGGTAGAAAAGATTCTGTTTTAGCTAGAAGAAGAGCAGAGAAAGATGAGCCAAGTGCAAATTCAAAGAAAAAGGCGAAAGTTCTTGTGGAGGTAAAAAAAAATTATATGCATAATTAGTTTCCTCTAATGCGTTCTGCTTTTACACACTTCAATCTTTGTTATAACCCATCTTTTGACTATATCTCCTATAGGTTGAACATGAGGGTACGGGTGAAAGACGGACAGCAGTACAATGAGAGATTGTATGTATTCCGTAATTTTACAATTATCAAAATGCTTGCTTAAGTGGCTGCGAAATTCTCAAATTATGCGCCAGACTCCGTTAGCTAGAATGAAATGGACATGTAAGCAAAAGGATCTTACTAATTTTGATCTTGTAATAGCAAATTTTGTAGTCATTGTTAGTGTTCGAGTGGAATTGTGTGCTAAGAGTAGCGTTATTGACCTTAAGTTGTATTTCTTCTCTGTGGTACTCATATTATAACGTTTGTCACAACAACATACCCAGTATAATCTCACAAGTAAGGTCTGGAGAGGGTAGTGTGTACGCATACCTTACCCCTACCCTGTGAAGGTAAGGAGGTTGTTTCCGAAGACCCTCAGCTCATATTACAACGTTTGTAAGATCTATTTGTATCTGCTGCCACAGGTGTTAATGGTAACCACATTGCAGGCAAGCAATCTAATTCCTTAATGTGAAATGATACTTTCTAAAGTTATATTAATTTTTAAATATTTAGTTTCATTAGAATTTCACACTATTGTTTTGTATGCATTTGACAAGTAGATATTACTAGTTCTACACTAGGGCCAATTTCTGATGATAGTATAAAAGCCCGAACAGATAATTTGAAGCCTATATCGTGAAAACAGAAATAATTACAAATGAAACCATACTATATTTGTAAATATTTTTAACTCAGCTGTAGGATCTTGAAAACCTCAAACTGTTTAGCAGGGTAATAAAATACCCTTATCAGTATTTTCAAATTTCACTGAAAACCTCAAACCTCAGCTGTAGTTTCAAATTCTCTAACAAGTGAATTTACAAGACATTACATGTAATTCATCTAGTCACACATGAGCTTATCAGTTTTTAGGACGGTTTTCGTCAAGTATTTAACAAATAAAATAAGAAGTGCAACACGAGAATTTTAATAGCGGGCTTGAAATTTCATTTTACTAAACTAAGGTAATGACAGGTGTGAGATGAAAATAAGTCTACCTCAATTGCAGTAGAAATCAGAGCATTGCGCTTAACACCAGCAACTTATTTGGATGTTATTATATATATAGTTTCATAACGTATCGTATAATATTTTGTTGTATCATATCGTATAATATTTTATTGTGTCGTATTGTTTGTTATTGTTTCATGATGTCATGCATTATAATATGGAGAATAAACTTGTAATTTTATAAAGAAAAAGTAAGGTACGAGATAAAATTATTATATAAAAAGGTAAGGAATGATAAAATAGAATTATCTAATAATAAAGAAGGCAGGTATCAAAGAATCGGTCATTCCATAAAATGAGACTTTTTGTCGTTACGTAATACTGAATTAAATAATACGATATAATAAAATTTAAATAACAATTAAAATATTATTTAAAATAACAATACAATACAATACAACAAGTAATAACCATTCAAATAAACTATAATTAGGGACATTCGCTGAGATAGCAGTCTATCAAATTCTCAGAGTCACGGATGAAGGCTAATTGATAGAGCTTTAGATGATAACTAGATTAATGAAAATATATGTATCTTAGATTTGCAAATCGAATAGAGTAATCGTAAAAAAACTAGGTTGTATGCTTATTAATAGTCCGTTTGGGTGAAGCTTCTAAAATTAGCTTATTTTGAGAAGCGTTTTTCTCAAAAATATTTTTCAAAAAAGTGTTTTTGGTGAGAAGCAATCTGTGTTTAGTAAAAAAAAAAAGAAAAACTTGGCCAAACAAATTATAAGTGAGCCTAGTTCTTTCATTAATATTGTGAAAGTAGAGCAGTTATTTCCGAAAAACCTACAAAGAGTATAATTAAAAATAGGGGCGGAAGGAGGGTGTTATCTACGAGTTCAGACGAACCCAGTAACTTTTTGCTTAGACGTTGTAGTTGTACTGAAAAATCTATTAAATATGTATAAACACTTAATTGCGAACCCATTAACTAACGAGTTATTGGTTCAATTATAACCGCAGAACCCATAAACTTTAAATCCTAGCTCCGTATCTCATTAAAATTCGGTGGTTTCCGCGGAACCCATAAATTTGGCATATGCATATCGCCGAAATTTTGCAGCTCATCTCCACGTGTCAATCATTCTCTTAAAACCAAGCGCCACGATCGGCACACATGTTTCCGTCCAAGAAACATTACTCAAAAATAGTCAAAATTCACAACCTTACGTGTCCTTCATTTTCTCAACCCACGTTTACCCTCCCCTAAATATAAAAGACTCAACATGCCTCAACGCGGAAAATAGAATCAATTCTCTCTAAAAAATAAAATCACAATTTTGCTAAAATGGTGAGACCTAAAGGAAATAAAGAGAAAAAAGATAACGGGGATCGTTACAAAGGTGTAAGGATGAGGAAATGGGGAAAATGGGTAGCAGAAGTACGGCAACCAAAGAGCCGTGACAGAATATGGTTAGGATCTTACGATACGGCGGAGGAAGCGGCGAGAGCTTACGATGCGGCGGTCGTTTGCTTACGTGGACCATCGGCGACGATTAATTTTCCAAATGATCCTCCACTTATTCCGTCGTCAGCGCCTAATTGTGATCAGCCGCAATTGTCGCCGTCGCAAATTCAAGTGGCGGCGTCGAGACATGCGCGTAGGGTTTGTGAATCAGCTGTTGTAGATTCTAGATTACCAGCTGTGGAAACTGTGTTTTTTAGAGATAATAATAATTCAGAGTTTGGTTGTTCTTCTTATGTGGATTGCTATAATTTGGCTACCACGGATAAAACAAGTACCGGAGATGGTGAAGTTTTGCATGATGATTTATTTGATAGTGCTAGAATGTGGACTTTCTGAATTAAAAAAAGAAAAAAGAGTATTTCGGTGCACAAAGTATCTCGCGTTTATGTTGGGTTCGGAAAAAAGCCGCACCTCACCTCGGGCTCACCTCGGGAGCTGTGATATACAGTTTGGCTGTTTTGCTGGCTTGAATCCATGACTGTTTCCGTAGCTCGAACACTATAGTTAGACAACTATTAGTGTACTTTCTGATTAGTAGTAGGATTAATTAAGCACCTTCTCATCAACTTTTAGTTCCAACTTTTACTAAATTTGTTGCTTATTAGGTTTATGGGTACTCTGTTGTCTACTGGACTAGATAAATTCATTTTACCTTGCAAAATCTAAGTAAAATATTTTGCGAGGTCTTGGCAAGCTACCACTCTCTCTGTTCTCAAATTTATGTGAACGACTGGACACATATTTTAAAAAAATAATTTTTTTTTAAATTTGTGATCCTGAGTTAAAAAAGGCTCACAGTATTTATGTGGTTATAATTTTTTTATAATTTTTTTTATTAATGATAGAATTGTAAGTTTAAGTATTTATGTGGTTATAATTTTTTTATAATTTTTTTTATTAATGATAGAATTGTAAGTTTAAGTATTTATGTGGTTATAATTTTTTTATAATTTTTTTTATTAATGATAGAATTGTAAGTTTAAGTATTTATGTGGTTATAATTTTTTTATAATTTTTTTTATTAATGATAGAATTGTAAGTTTAAGTTAAATTGTTTTCAAATTTAGAAAGGTTTAATTGGAGCAGAGGGAGTACTTTGTATCACTTGTAATTGTCTCCACTTGTTTACCTTTAAATTCCTTTTAATTTTCCGATGTCTCATCTTATTTTCAGTTATATAATGGCATTGTTTGTTTCTTTTTGTGTTATGAAATATAACTCAAAGTAATAATATTGAATAAGGAAATAAAGTAATTTAATAAAACATGAGTAAGAAATGGAGATAGAGAGAAGGAAGATATTTTCTTCTTCAATTGTGTGTATTTTTCTATCTATTACAAGACCTTTATATAGGCATAAAAAGTGAAGAAAATATGTCATGGAATATGTTATTGAATATACAAAATATGTCATTAAACATTTGAGATGAAAATTATGGAATAAGAGTAAACATTCACCATAGTGTGATATTTATCATAACGCTCCCCCTTGGATGTCCAAAGATAATGTGTCTCGTTAAAACCTTACTAGGAAAAAATCCTATGAGAATTTTTTTTAGTGAAGGTAAAAGAGTACACATGTTTAGAAATATGCCTTTTGGTTGCCTCGTTAAAAACCTTGCAAGGAAAACCCAGTGGGACAAAATTTTGTAAGGGAAAAAAAGTACAACGCATATTAACTCCCCCTGATGAGAGCATCAATTCACATCCTTGATCATTCACATCCCAATCTTGTACACTAATTTCTCGAAGGTTGACGTCGGTAGAGATTTGGTGAACAAATCAGCCATATTATCACTTGAAAAAATCTGTTGCATATTGATATCACCATTTTTGAAGATCATGTATGGAAAATAACTTTGGTGAAATGTGATTTGTCCTAACTCCTTTTATGAATCCTCTCTTCAATTGGACTATGCATGTTGTATTGTCTTCATACAAAATTGTGGGTAATTTGTAACACTTCAAATCACATTTTTCTTGAATAAGATGTATTATAGACATCAATCATACACATTCTCGACTTTCTTCATAAATAACAATTATCTCAGCATGATTAGATGAAGTATCCACGATTGATTGCATAGTCGATTGCCAAGATATGGCAGTGCCTCCACATGTAACACATATCATGTTTGAGATCAAGCTTTGTGTGTGTTAGATAAATACCCCGTATCAGCATAACTAACAAGATTGGGATTGCAATCATTGCCATAAAATAAGCCCACATCGGTAGTCCTTTTTAGATAACACAATATGTTTTTGATTTCATTCAATTGTCTCCTTGTAGGAGCAGAGCTATATCTTGCTAAAACATTAACTGAAAAAGTTATGTCACGCCTTGTAGTGTTAGCAAGATACATTAGTGCATCAATTGCACTAAGATATGGTACTTTAGGATCAAGAAGTTCTTTATTATTTTTATGAGGTCAGAATGAATATTTATTTATATCGAATGATCACACAACCATCGGGGTACTCAATGGATGTACTTTATCCATATAGAATCGCTTTAAAATATTTTCAGTGTATGTTAATTGATGGACAAAAATTTCATCTTTCATATACTCAATTTGTAAACCAAGATGAAATTTTGTCTTTCTAAGATCTTTCATTTCAAATTCTTTCTTTAAACAGTCTACTGTTTTATGAAGCTCCCCGAGAGTTCTAATGATATTTGAATCATCAACATACACGGCGATTATAACAAATTCAAATCCGGATCCTTTTACAAGGACAAAATTGAATTATTCTTGTACCCTTCTTTCAACAAGTATTTTTTCGGGCGATTATACCACATGCGCCCTGATTGTTTCAATTCGTATAAGGATTATTAAAGCTTTATTTAACAAATTTCTTGGGAACCATAATATGCTTTAGAACAATTTAAATCCGTCAATGATTTCCATTATACGCATATCAAGTTTTTCATATATTGCCAGATTAAAACTTGAAATGACTATATCCATCATAAGAGAATATGTCTCCATATAATCAATGTGAGGATATTTACTAATTTTCTTTGCCACAAGTCGTCTTTATGTCTATCAACTTGAACTTTTCGCACAAGAACACATTTATACCTCAATTGACTTTATACTTTCAGGTGTTGGACTATCCGTCCAACTTCACATTTTAAAGTGAAGTCAATTTCATTGAGTATTTTTTATTTGGCCAATCTTTTTTTCCGTCCAAATTTCATGACAGATTTGAGCTCAATATCCTCGTCAATATTAATAATATTGAGCGCTACATTATATTAACAATATCGTCGACGATCATTTTATGTCGGTTCCATTATTACCCAATAAAGACATAACTTATTGAGATCTCTTTATCTCATTATTTTCAGGTACCTGAGCCTCTCCTATGAGGTCTTGTGAAGTGTTATGTCGTGGTGCTCTTCTAGAGCACTTGCCTTCTTAGTATGAACATTTTGAATATTTGCCCCTCTCCTTCTTCAAGGAGTTTTATCTTTGGAACCGATTGGTCTGTTACGCTTCATGCGTGCCATAGACTCTGTCCCTCATGGACTTTATTCTATTTGGAGCATTAGCAGCTGAAATATGACATTTAGCTTTGGGTCAACAAATGCGTCTGACAATAATTTGCAAATGAATTGTCACTTGAACTTAAGTTTATCTTTTCTTGTACGAGGATCTATATGCATTCATAATAATTCATTTCACGTATCACTTTCTCAGCTGCCCATTTTCTCCCCCTAATGTTGG